TTTTATACCAACTTTTATATCGTTATATCAAGCACATTTTATAATTCTAACAAACCGGACTAACATTGGGCATCGCCACTTATATTTGTATCTAAATCTGAGAAGCAAGAAATGTTCAGACGCACGAAGCAGTGAACAACATTCTTTCATGTGAAATCCTTAATGGAAAACAGCAGCATGTTGAAGACAAGTCACTACAAAAACTGGAGCAAGAGGAAAAGATTCCACTATTGTCAGAGGCAGGCTTAAAAAGGAGAGTGCAGCAAACATCCTGGGCAGTCCCAGGACACCTTGTCCATGTCTCTAGTAATATTTGTTTACATTTGTATCCCCTTAGGAGTCTGTGATCTTGAAGGAAAGGCCCTGGCTTTACATCATTCTAGCCTACCAGCCATTGAATTCAACTACATGAGAACCAAGTGTTGAGTCAATTAGCCTTCTTAAATTCTCTTCACAAAAGAAATATTCACAGTGTTTGTGTTATGTAAATTTTATCTCAATTGAAAGATACCAAAAAGGGGCTTTTTAAAATTATTAAGGCAAAGCTATTTTGAAGTCAGACCCTAAGTCACTGGACTGTAACATAAGGCTAATATTTTTATTAGCCTTGTTGTTTTCATAAACAATAAGCCTTATAATCACACAGGTATTTCCTAACCCGACATATATCCAAAGTCCTCAATGGTCCAGACAGGTGAGTACACAACCTCAAAATACCCATCGAGTTTCTGGGTCAGCTGACTGGCTGTTAAAACTGATTTACCTTCTTTATTTAGACACAAACAGATTCTATAATATTAGGTTCCACCAGAGGAAGCATAGATTCAGAGTGCTGTTGTTTTTTCTTATGAGAAAAAAAACAATACACTCAAGTTAAAAAAGAAAGAAGAATAGATAGATACCAGAAGAGACGTGGAGGAAAAAAACCTCAGGGAAATCCAGAGACCTGCTTCGCCTCAGGCTCCATTCTAGACTCAATGATATGAATCTGCTCTGCTTCGGCCCAGAAACGTAAAGACTGCCAGCGTGGGCTGAGGGACTGATTAGTAGGTACGTGGCCTGGGGCTCCTGAATGGACTGAGCTCCGCACCTCATCTCCCTTGATCTCCCTTGGTGTCTGCGCCCATTGGTTTCCCTGAGATGGAAGCAACAAGAAAATCTCATTCAAGTACAAATGTGATCTTTGGCATCACGCTCCGATTTTGAAAGGTCAAGTCCGTAATCGCCAGCATTCAAGGTAATTAGCTAACATCATGCCCACTGTCTTGACCCCACAAATTAAAATCCTGGAGCAAAACTGCCATGTGGCCAAAGGCCAAAGAAAGAAAACAAAAACTTCAGTAGAAGAGTAAAGAGGGCAAAGATATTAGTAGTAAACTCCTAATACTGCCATCAATGGCTTGAAGAACACAGAGCCCTCACAGGCCCCACTGGTTTCCCTGGATAGACTGTATGAAGACAAGATCCTCTTCAGTCTCATTACTGCTCAACAAATCAGAGATGTACAAAACTCTAACATTAGTGTGGCCTAAATGACATTAATATGTACATTCCTCCTAGAAATATGGAGTCACCTGCTCGAAGTTATGGTAATGAAACCCCTGATTTGTTGACAAAAGGAATAACCACCCCACTGGCTAATGCCTTTTCTACCCACCCAATGCCAGGAAACTAAGTAAGTGACTGATACCTTGATGTCCTTTTCAGTGACTTCAGTAAAGCAAGAGTAATGCATGTCAGAACAAGACCTTCATAAGTTTCCTAAGCACAAATGTCCCCAAGCCCTCCTCTCAGACGCCAGCCTGCACTGACACACACCATCCTGCTGCCAACCGAATCGCAGATGCGATGCCTTTGCAAAATAAAAGTCAATTCAATCTCCACGTGCACAGCTTGCTTTTCTGCACTACTGGACAATGGCACACATAGAATATACAGGCACACATAGACCTCCAGCTTGAACACAAATGGTATTACCCTATCACACGTTACTTAAAAATGCAAAGCACTATCTCAAGTTAATTTGTCACTTGGAGAAATCTCTGCACTTTTATGACAATTCATTTATGAGAAGCTCTTAGCACAGTTTTCCCCTTGACCTTCTCAATTTATGTCACCTTTGCCACTCTTCCACAGCAAACTTTTATGTGCGATTTTAAGGCTGGGCAATGTAAGTTACAAGGACACTCATCTCTGAAACCCAAAGAACAATCTAATGAAAATGAGGCAATGCTCCCAGCTGCCAGTGACTTGCTCTGTCCTGACCCAACACGCTTAAAAATATAATCAGGTAGGGTTCGTATGATCTTCGGGAAGGAAAGGCTTGGAGCTGGAACCAGTTTTTATTTGATTGTGGAGAAATTATGTCTATAAAAATTTGTTTTACAATCACTGAAATAAGAAAGAGCAAAAAAATCCACAATTTGAACACCATCCATTTCCTTTAGAAAGATAATAATAATGTTAGGTCAGTTAAACAACTGTTTTTTCTGTTCAATCCACCATAAACTTCTAAGACTTTTTTAGGTGTGTATGTAGAAGCAACCAGAGCACGAACTGGTGGGAGGGTCCAATGCTTTCAGATGACAGGCAAACTGGCAATATCATTTCATGCTTTTCTCTACGCCTCAGTGTCATCGACTACAAACAGGGAGAATATTCTCCCGATCTATATATGTCACAGGATTAGACTTTTAAAAACTATACCTGAAACTACTATATAACACACACAAGGGTGCATCCTTCCCACCCCTAGAAACAAACGCAGAATCTCGTGGTTAAAATCCAATCTCACTCAACTCCATGCATACAGGAACAGTTGAGGAGACCCCAAAGCAGGCTGAGGGATGATTGCCAATGCCCCTGGAAGCTCTTCCATCTCTAATGGCTGCAAATCTTAAAACCATTATCTAAAAGCAGCTAAAGCAACAATCAGCTTTTATTGAGTGGGTGGTGCATAGATTTTTCCCAGAAACTGATGAAAACTATAGACCTTCTATCTACAAAATATCATACCCATACATAGGAGCAAAATTTGTTTTTATACTATCAAGGTGGTTCTTGGATAGTATATTAGGAACCCCCAGCTCCAGACTGCTGAGTGATGGCCTTGTTGATTAGAAAGACACCAGATGAGAGAAACTGGTGCATATGTGGACATGGGTAAGGTGACCCCAGTCACCTGAGGGCTCCACTTCGGAAATCCCTCCTCACACTGTCCCTGGAGACGGGAAGCTGAAAGGGCTGCGATTCGGAGTCACCCCAGCAGTATTCAGACAGAGAAAGCCCTGGTTGCTCAAGCAGCACATCTATTCCTTTCCTAAACAACCAGGCTTCCAACTAACACCTAAAAATAATGTTCATGTACATCCAGGGCTGCTTCCGCATCTCCCTGTAAAAGGGAAGGGATGCTAATCTAACTGAAAGGCAGACCTAGGGTATTTGTTTTGAAGATGAAGTTGTTTAGGATGTCACATAAGATTTAGAAAACATCACATTTCTACATCAAAGCAAGAAGTTTGCTAGAGGAAGGGGGCGGGAGGCGGGAAGGAGCCAGCCCCGGGCACCTCCACCCTGTTCCCTGGCACCCGTGGTTCTCAGACTTCAGTGTGCAGCAGAATCACAGAGAAGGCTTGTTCAATACAATCGCGGGGCTCCACCCTCGGAGTTTCTGATTCAGCAGGTCTGCGGTAGAGGCCAAGAACTTGTACTTGGACAAGTTTTAGGGGACATTGCTGCTGCTGTTGGTCAGGGGACCACACTTTGAGAATCACTGATCTATACAACTAGAGCCTATTCCAGAGAGGACACCCCAACTTTTTAAGCATGTTCACAGTCCCATCCAGAGGCCATAGTTGTCATTGAAGGAAAAAAACCCAGCACCGTTCTGTTCCTCGAGTCGCTTCTCCCCGTGGTACCTGTCAGCACACGCTGGTTGAGCTGCACGTTTACAACACACAAGCTTCCTCAGGACTGGTGAGGGTCTGCGGAGACTCAGACACAGAGAAAAGGAGACAGAAAACTTGGAGCGTCCCATTTTAAAGTTTCACTTTCAGGAAGCAATAAACAGCACATTGGTGCTAGGAAGATTTACTTAAGACTTAGCAAACACCCATTACGCCAAGAGCTGTGGTTTTCATGGAGCCCCGCAGAGCTCCAGACGTTATATCCAGACACCTCCAGGGCTGGGGTGGGAAGGGCGTGAAGAAACACAGAGCATTTGGGCCTCCCACTTAAGTCTCTCTCTGAACTGGAACTTCAGCTTTTCTCTGACTTCCATATTGGCGTAAATTATATTTATTAGTGGTTTTACTGTCCCTTTGAGGGAAAGTTTCAAGAACACTGGATGTGATTACTTCTACGGGCCCCTCCATTTCCATGATCCTGCTGAATACAACAGAGGTTGGCTGGCACATCGAAAATGTAAAAAGATCAAAGTGGCCCAGGGGGCGGACAAAACACGGGAAACGGCATCAGAATGAGCGGTTAGCAGTGAGATCACATTTGCGTCCGGTATGAAGGTCTGGGTGTCATACACAGGAGCTTCCAAACTCACTGAGGGCCGCAAACATCTGTAAATGGCATATGAAGAACATGCAGACTTCTGTGGTACTTTTCTTCACTCAGCCCTGCCCTGTCAAGCAGACACCTTATCAAGAAGGCCATCTATTAAACTGGTAAAACCTTTCTTTATGACGCATATTTGTAAGCTACTGGGTGAGTGATACATAAAGCTCCTGGGGTCATTACTACAGCCCAGAACTGGACCACAGGTGAAAGGCAGAACAGAGCAGGGGCGGGGCGGAGACAGTGGTCTGCGGAGATGGATGGCCTATCTTTTATTAGGCTTTAACTTGTAAGTCGCTCACAATCCCAGTATTTGAAACCATACTTGAGAGCAAATGAGGAAACAGAACCTTCTAAGTGAGGGTGGGAGGGCAAGGGGGTGAGGCATCCACTCTTGGGGTGCTAAAACAGCTTACAAAGACCACGTGCCTTACCATGATATGGGAGATATGGATTTTGTTGGGGGTTTTCTTTCTATTTCAAGGATAGTAGGAGCATCTTCCAAGCCACCAGGATCTCACGCACACGCCATCATCCTACTTCCCACCAGTCCCTATGGCCACTGTCTTTGGTTAGGGCAGCAGCTAGAGACAGGAAGAAAAGACGCCCTCAGTAAGTCAGGACCTTGCAATCCAGGTCCAGCAGATAGAGGATCTAAACCACTCAGCAAGACCCACCTCTTCCAAACCAAAGCAGCCCTAATGCCCCCACTCATAGCTGTTCCAGGAACCATGGGGTGTGGAGAGGGTAGCAGGAGGAGGTACGTTCAACAGAGGAGGTACATTCAATAGAAATGTTCAATGTACCCCAACATTCAACAGAAATGTTGTTGGAGCTCCTTTAGCTGTGATGAACAGCACACAGGCCCAAATCTAAAAGGGAGCTTACAGCTGCCCTGAAAGAACTACCGTCATCCGGCCGACACTGTAAAGCCATGTCTAATGAATGGTACAGGGAACTACATTCAAGTCCAAAGTCAAACTCAAGGCAGCAATTACAAGCAGTTAAAACCATCCTTGAAAATTCCCCGAAATTCTTCATAAAATACACTATGCTGCCTCTCACGAAGCCTAAGATAACCTGTTTTCTTGGCCCTTTGGGGAAAGACCATTAACTCCTCAGGTAAATACCAAACAAAATATCTCACTAGCATTTTATGGGTCATGCAGTTAAAGCCAATGCTCCAGCTCTGAAAGGAAATGAACTCCCCTTACAGACTGCAGGCCCGCATCTCCGATCTCACGTGCACTCTGGGACTCTGCTTATCACGTTTCAATTGTTACTTCTCATCCTTTCATTTTTCTTTTAGCCAAGCGTGTGAGTTTAATTTCCATGAGTACAAAATATGCATATAAAGACTCCATTGTAATATTTCCAATGTATTATTTACCCAAAGTCATGCCCAAAATGTCCCCATTTCTTTGAGTCAACATAATGTGAACCCTTCTTTTAAATGCAAGCATAAAGATGGAGTTATATTTATATTAACTCTAAACTAGAGAAAGTTTTTTTTAACCAAATTAGTTCCAGTTACTTGGAGAGAATAGGGACACCAGAGAGAGCACAAGTGGAAAGAAAATCAAGAAAGATACAGCATATGCAATAATTTTCAGCAAATTGGGTCCTGCCAGGGGACAATGTGTACCCATGGTGCGCCCCAGGAAGAGGGTGGAGGAAGCAAGACGGGGATTCGAATGTCACATGTCCAAAGGTCCTCACGCTCCGCCCTGCCCTCACACTTACAAAGGAAATCCCATCCCCAAGTCCTCCAGGTGTGGAATGATTCCAGAGAAAGAGATGGGCCAGGTAGGCTTCTCTGATTTGACTCAACTAGATTACCCAATCAATTACCTAGTCCCAACTGCCACTGCCTTCCATCCCCTGCAAGGTCACACACAAGCTGCTGTGGCTCAAAACGTATCCCTGGAGGCTCACAGATCCCCCACCATATCTATTCCCTCCCACAGTCGTAACGAGTGCCACAGACTCCACACCCCAGGCTGCCAGGCACATCCACAAAGTGAGCACTGCCGGGGACCGGGGCCTCTCCTGTTCCCAGAGGCGCAGGCATGCATTATTCCACTCGACGGAAACGCTTCCTCTTCCTGCCTCTTTCTAAATGTCTCTTTACCTCACCTCTTTTTTTAGCCACTTTTCCTCTCTATGTCATACTGTAGGTTTTACTGTCATGATCCCTGAGTAGGTGACACCCTTGGCTCATGGGACATCCTCTCTCTTTTGTCTGCTCCAGATTCCAGATTTTGTCTGCTCATCTTGATCAGCTTTCCCACAAATTTCTAATACTTAGCCTTTCCCAGAAGAATAGGTAGCACATTTTAACGCAAAAAAAAAAATGCACAAAAGAAAATTGTTTATACTAGAATCAAATAAATGCCATACACATGTCAAACAACTACACGATTTAAACCCTGTGCTAATACAAATGCCTCAGTGATCCTCTGCTCATCCACCAGGGCCCTAAAATCATCCCTCTCTGCATTCCCTCCTTCAGTGAATTCCTGATCTGCTCAGAACTTTTACTTGACCTCCAACCATGTTTATTACCTCCTTAAGTTCTTCAGCTGATACTTGAAATGAAAAACTTTAAGGAGGCAATTAAAAAAGACTAGTAAACCTGTTTTGAAAGGACTAGGCTTAACTCTAACAAGCTAAAATGACAAGCACATGGCTTGCTGCCAAGCTACCGTGGTCAGTTTAAGAATTAGATTAGAAATAGCTGATAGCATCTGAAGGACAAACTGACCTCTATACATTTTATCATTTGCTTGGTCTGCACTGTGTATAAGATATAAAACTCAAAATAATGAGATGACCATTCTAGGCAAAGACCTTTAATTCAAGATTTAGGAAGAGGTGTCTGGGGGAGTTACTGTAGCAGAATACTTACTAACTTGATGTAACCATTTTTATCTGCAGTGAATCTGAAATACATACTCTACGGTTTTCCTAAATTACATGCTCTGAAACACTTCATTAGTACTTTTTGTCTTGCAGAATAAAATTACCATTTCTTTGCTAAAATGCTTACCTCTCTCACATAAATATTTTAAACCTAATAATTAGAAGAGTTTAACAGGAGGCCTATAAAAATAATTTAAATTTAAAGCATTAATGTTGTCTCCACATTTGAAAAAACAGTGGATCAGTATTCACATTCCCATAGTAATGTATTCTCAAACATCAAAAGAAATGTCATTTATTACTAGATAACCACAATTTCAGAAAGAAATGTTTTCTCATATTAGGAGAAAAAGTAAACTTTTAAAACATGAAAAAATCGTAAGCATTCAAAAGAGCTGACTTGAAATTCCCTTTATTTCATTTGCCCATAAAATTAAAAGCCTCTTTTCTGAAATTTGAAAAATGGAAAAAGCTAAATTTCAAGTTCATGTGAAAGCCATCCCTCACCACCAACCCCCCAACCCTGAGGAACAGGTCGAGTTTGGGCAGCTCAGCCAGGGTGTCACAGTCTGAGCTCTTCCAGCTTCCACCGCTGTTCTGGTTTCTTGCTTCAGAAACCGCCGTCACTCACCAAACACTGCAGACAAATAGCGGAGACCAGTGCAGTGTTACCTTGAACAAGCCATTAAAAGAGACCGAAAAGCAGCAACGGAACCCCAAGCCATTTGCTCTTTCACAACGGCAAGCTGAAGACAGTCTTGTTTACTACACACAAATCACTTGAGATCTGGCCAAATCCCTACCCGGTTTTCCAGATGGAAACGTGGCAGAGCGTACATAAGTATTTTCTTCCACTTCTGAAAACAAACTGGACCAGTTTTTCTTGTTGCTTCTAGGAAAGCGATCATTTAAAGCCAGTGAAACGATTCAACAAAAGGGCTTCCCTAGACCCAACTCCTGCTCTATTTTTGCTCCCACGTCTCCCGCTTCCACCAGCAGTATTAGGTTTCTTGTAACTGGGTTTGCTTCCTCCTCCAGTGTCTATTTAAGTCTTCAGACTGCAGAAAGCAAAATCTATTCATCAACCTTAACTTCTCACATGTTTTTGTAGTATATTCACATTTTTTTCAGGGGAAATAGTCAAGATAGAGCCCTTTGATTTTATATTTATATGTATGTATGTATGTATGTATGTATGTATATATAATTCTTTTCTAAATTCTAAAAAATTTAGGGTCTGTAAGGTTTATGCAGACAGGCCTCTCACAGAGGCTGCTGTGTTTCCCAAGGTTCATGTTCATGTGCTGCCAAGTAGGAAGAGCTTGACTTCACTTTTCACTTCCCTGAGTTAAATTCACTGAGACAGAGGTGCTTTGAGAGCTACGATGTGCAACAGGTTAGTGGCTGGTTTGTGTGAAGGTGCTATGTTAATAGGCAAACATCTCAGGGGTGCTGGTTAGTTCAACAACGGAAGGTCTCTCAGCATTCTTTCTTTATGACTCTCTTTCTACTAAACCCCACGGGAAATGCCAGTGATCCTGACCCAGATCCACGGTGCCCCAGAAAATCCGCCCAAGGTGAGTGCAGGGAGCCTGTGGAGATAACTGAACAAAAAGCCAGGGGAGAAAAGGCAGTCCCCCCCACCCAGATGAAAACCTCATTTAGCTTTAATGTGTACTGTAACAGGAAGCCCTAGATTAAATCTCAGCCCACATACATTTCAGTTCTTTATTCGACGGCCCTAGTCAGTCTCTCACACACTGCTAAACCCATAGCATGTAACATCCCTGTAGACACTGCTCACGTCTGCCAACACCTAACACCACAAGCTCCTCCTAAACTTCCCTCTAGCCTGATTTTCCACTTCTCTGTACTGCACACACCCCACACTCCCGGCCCCCTCACACTTTCTGCACTTCCCAGGAACTATTTCTTTCTTGAATGGTCTCCCCCGGAACCTGGTGAAGACTTTTCTCCAGCCTGTCCACACCACTGCAGACTGATCTTGCCGCTTCCTCTTCCTCTGGGACCAAGAATACGGCCCTTTCTCCCAGACTTGGCTGCCTCCTCCAAGGTCACAAAGCTGGCCAGTGCCAACAATGAGTAGCTTAACCACTGACTGACAATTTCCTTCCTACCCAATGCGGTTCCAAGTTCTGTGGCCTAAAATCAAAACACATCACGGAGCTCAAGATCCAGAGTCAGACAAACCTAGCGGCAGAGTTGCTGCTCCCATCCCCGTGCCGTGGACAAGTACCCTCTCTCAGCCTCAGTTTTATGTCTAAGTGGGTTATAAGAGCATTTACCTTTAATGTAGAGTCAGAATGCGATAATGTATGTGCCTGGCATGGAGTAAGCTACCAAAAATTGTCAGCTACTTTTACTGGATTATACTTCTATTCTACTACTACTGTTATAAGGATAACTGGCATAGACAGACAAACTGGTAGGCTTCAGGCCAAATTTGGACTGTCTGTTTGACTGTCACAATATGTTTTGGGTTTTGTTTTTTCATTGCCTTTGGAGAGGTAAGCATTCTCTCAGCTGCCACAGTCGTCACTGCTCCTTAGAATTGTATATTCTCATTAAACTGGGCCTTGAGTTCGTGACACCCCTTCCCACGCAAACAAAAAGCCTCGGTTACCCAGAATTTTTTTTTAGG